CAGAGTTAAATTCTCAGGGAACCAGACCAATAAATTAGTCAATAAAACGACGAATCTCCCCAAAAACCGGCTGCCATGAATACAAACTGCCAGCGGACTCCGGCTGGTTATTAATTCAGCCACCAAACCGTTTCATAGACGACTTTGGGGGAAGACTGAAGACGACACATTTTATCGAGTCCAACTGGGTCAAACAGAATCTTGTTTTTCTGATGTGAGGGTCAATATGTCAGGACCAGAACAAACAATATCTATGATTACTTAGAGCATCACAGTCTCCATGATGTCCAGTTTTAAAGGTGAGAGGGAGACGGTCAAGTTTGGATTGAGGGAAAAAAAATCAACATTCTTATTGAGTTGAAGGATTAAAGGAGGTAAAACTTGATGGAACATGCATCGTTCAGTGTTTGGGTTCTTTCTTTGATGGAGTCGGTTCAGGTCGACTGCACTTCAGGGTTTCTACTCACAATCATCATTATCGTTTATTGATTATTTTTTTCAGTGAACTGATTAGTTGTTTGGTCTATAAAGGGTTGATCGGTGTCTCCTAAAGCCCCGAGATGACAAATGTCTTGTCCCATCCACGACCCAAAGATATTCAGGAACTCGAAAATATTCACATTTTAGAGGCTGGAATCGGAGAATTTTGATCATTTTTACTAAAAATTAACCAAACTGATGAATCTGTTCACAAAACAGTCGACAGTCGTAGCTCTACTGAAGTTTGGGTCGAGTTTAAATACCGTTGGGTCTGACTGTACTCGGGCTCCCTTAGAGTCTTTTGTGTCAAGGAAATGTCTCGTGAAGACATTTTGTACGTAATACGTTAAGTTCAAGACTTGTGTATCTTGTATAGAAATTTGAAAACCAACAACTCCCATCGTCAGGGCGTTTTGGACACGAGGGGTTGCCTAGTAATGGATGCTTGACAGGTGTCGACGATAGATAATTAACGGATGTTCTCCAACAATAAACCAGTAAAATCTCCACCTTCCTCCACCTCCTGGATTTCAGAACCAGACGTACATTGCGAAGCTTTCAACTATGTTACAAGAACAATCCACCAAAAGGTTTGTTCTGAACATTTGAGCAGAGAAACAAACACTCCTGGTAAACAACTAGGGATCAAGACATTTTATCACAAATCCGTATTGGCATGATTCTTTGTTTACCTCCACCGCCACACCAGTAGAAATGATATCACAAAATGAGATTAACTTTCCCAGTAACTGATGCAGATTGATAAGAGAAATTCAGGATTGTAGATATTTGTTCTGGGCTGATTTTGCCATTTTTACTGAACTGACATGACAAAGGTGGACCTGTAAAAACAAACATGCTGTTCTGGTTGATCCTGAGCTCTAGCCAGAGGTCATTAAGGGCCACATACGTCATTGTCATGGTGACTTGTCGAGACCTAAAGGCCAATTTATGTTTTTTGCAGCTGCGTCCACAAGAGTATGAGTGACATAAACTTCTTCATCCCCAAAGTCCACACGGATGAATGTGTGACCGTCTGCGAATGTGCAAGTGGCGCTTAACAGAAATGTTTGGTACGAGGAGATTCTACGTCATCCACACCTTTAGAATTCATCTTTTAAAGAGCTGTAATAGAAGCAGACTTTATACATCCATCGACGGAGCCCAACTGCAGTAAAAACAATATGAATCTGGAAGTCCTGTGCTGTGTCCGCCCACTGTGCCCGATACACCTCGGGAATAATCAACCAACCAAATGCTACACCCCTGTGTGTTTTTCTGTGCTTGATATGACGGGAAATACAACTGACCACATACCAAACCAACATATTATGGTATAAACACAGAATTGGAAGTAAAATCTACCCATAAACCCCCACGGTGCTCTCTGTTTGCCAAAACATAACTGCCGGTCATCCGAATCCCCGTCTTGTAGGGTTTTCGGGATCTTTTGGAGCTTGTACTGTACATCCGACCCTCTGACACTATATTTCAGACGGTATCCTATCGGAGCTTTACGACAAGGGTCCTGAACACCCAACAGAACATTTAAGAACAGTTTGAAGGCAGAAATGCATTTTTTTTTTTCTTAACTCATTGCAGAACGACTCAGTTGTCCGACGCCGGATCGATTTGAGGTGTGGATTATCTCGAAAATTATATAAATTTAGGAATCTACTAATTGTTCAATGACTTGGATCGAATCAGGCGCCAGAGAACTCGATCAGACATCCCAATCAACAACGATTAGTTTAATAGGTTGTCCGGAGTTACTCGAGGCAACTGGCGACTTGGTTCCCCTGATTAACATAAAGTTACCTAAACCTGAAGTTAATGCGACGGAGTAGCAAACAATCCAACACCCAATCTCTCGAAACGCAAAGCGCTGCTAACATAATGTATTCATGGGAAGCACTGAAAGACGGATCTTGAAGTTGAGGCTAAATGACGGTGTCAGTTCATTGGATCTCTTTAGCGAAGACAGATCCGTCCACCTTCAGGGTAGCTAGTCGGTCTTTGCATGGTTACCTCTGAACTGACATGATTATCGGATTTTGGTATCGCTGTGAAACTTCATGTTTGCCAAATTCCTGAGCGTTCTCGTGACCCCTCTACGTACCTCGAGGCGGTCGGCGTGCAGCACGATGAACCTGGTGGCGTTGACGCACTCCAGCTCGATGCTGACCTCCCCGGAGAAGGTGAAGTTGTCCATGTAGACGGCGAGCCGCAGGTCGTAGTGTCGCGGCCTCACCGAGCCCGGCAGCCGCGAGTTCCTCCACGGCTGCACCGCCTCCTCGTCGCCCCTCTCCCCCGTCCTCTCCCCCCGGCTCCCGTTCAACCTCGCCGAGCCCCTGGACCCGTGCTCGCCGGCGGACCCGTCGCGATCCCGCCCGCCGCACTCCTCGAAGCGGACGCTGAGCACCACGGCGACGGCGGTCACGATGATGAGCGTGAGGATGGATAAGGCGAAGCCCAACACCAGGCGCTTGTGCACCGTGATGTGGCGCTCGGTGGTCCTGGGCCGCACCACCACCGACTCGGCCCACTGGTCCGAGAGGCCGCGACCGTTGCGCATGGCGCCGGGGCTGCTGTCGTTTAGTCCCATTTAGCTTCGGATATCACTACAGCGACTGAGAAACCTGGAAGTTCTGAGTCGGAAAGCGATTCATTGATGCTCGGAGGAGTTCTATCTCGTTAAGATTCCACCTCTCGGCCTCTGAAGCCTCCACCCTGAGCCGCAGCAGTTGCACTCGGCGCAACCTCTGACCTCGCCGCGGACGTCCTTCAGCTCGGAAAGCAAACACCGCGGCACGGCTTACATTTCAGGCAACGGACCTGACAAGCCGAGAGCGGATGAGATGTGCGTTTTGCGGCGAGCGGAGAACAAAAATCAATGCTGCATGGCTCAGTTTCAAGAGCAGAGGAGGCTGAAGAGGAGGAAGAGGAGGAGGAGGAGGAGGAGGTTTGCTGTTGAGGATGTGGCTATACAGTGAGCAAACCATCCATAGACTCTCAGTGGGAAAATCAGCTGGCTAAGCTA